TGTCTAACATTGATGTAAACACTGCGGGGCTGAATTTGCTGACAATTGGGATTTTTTTTTAACGTTATTGGTCTGATTAAGAAGCATGTGGTGAAAATCTGGACATCAGCGCTGTTTTAATGAGGAGCGGATGGTTGTTTTATCAAATTTGAGCGCACCATTCAGCCGCAGTGACGGTGCCTCCAACGAGACAGGCGGTATGTCACGGCATTGATCGGGTCATAAAAGGGCCGGCGGAATGTCGCGCATCACAACTCGGTGAGGCAAGATTTGCAGAAGGTAATTGGAGGCAACTGGGGCTCATCTCTCTTGTTTTCTGATGTTAACATCTTGAATCGAAAAGGTTCAGCACGTTGACTTGGCAGTCTCCGAGTGTGTCCTTAATCCTACTAGAAGGTTCAGGGGAGAAATCAACAGAAATCAGAATACTGTTAGGTGACGTTTCAATGAGAAATTAAAGTGGATTTGTTTCCCCCTGTAGAGACGATTGAGCCTGTAAATCACACATGAGGACTCAGTGTCTAACATTGATGTAAACACTGCGGGGCTGAATTTGCTGACAATTAGGATTTTTTTTAACATTATTGGTCTGATTAAGAAGCATGTGGTGAAAATCTGGACATCAGCGCTGTTTTAATGAGGAGCGGATGGTTGTTTTATCAAATTTGAGCGCGCCATTCAGCCGCAGTGACGGTGCCTCCAACGAGACAGGCGGTATGTCACGGCATTGATCGGGTCATAAAAGGGCCGGCGGAATGTCGCGCATCACAACTCGGTGAGGCAAGATTTGCAGAAGGTAATTGGAGGCAACTGGGGCTCATCTCTCTTGTTTTCTGATGTTAACATCTTGAATCGAAAAGGCTGTGCGAGACTTCGGATTGGGTAGGCTGGCGACGAACCGGCGACCTTCGGGTTGGTTGATGACAACGGTAGCGCCAAAGGCAAACTGCCCAGATAAGGTTGCATTCTCAAGGCTCAGCAGTCCTGGAACTCTCCGGTGACCCGTCTGGGCCTCCCATCGCCTTTGCTCTTTCGGTCCATAGGCCTGAACTCTGAAAGCCAAGACCTCATAGACAGATCGGATGGTTGTTTTATCAAATTTGAGCGCACCATTCAGCCGCAGTGACGGTGCCTCCAACGAGACAGGCGGTATGTCACGGCATTGATCGGGTCATAAAAGGGCCGGCGGAATGTCGCGCATCACAACTCGGTGAGGCAGGATGCGATCAAGATTTGCAGAAGGTAATTGGAGGCAACTGGGGCTCATCTCTCTTGTTTTATGATGTTACGTCTTGAATCGAAAAGACTGTGCGAGACTTCGGATTGGGTAGGCTGGCGACGAACCGGCGACCTTCGGGTTGGTTGATGACAACGGTAGCGCCAAAGGCAAACTGCCCAGATAAGGTTGCATTCTCAAGGCTCAGCAGTCCTGGAACTCTCCGGTGACCCGTCTGGGCCTCCCATCGCCTTTGCTCTTTCGGTCCGTAGGCCTGAACTCTGAAAGCCAAGCCAAATTATCTCTAGAATAATCCCTGTCAGATGGCAGCAATTAGCATGTTCTGGTGTTAATTTGGTTTCTGGTCAAACTGACATTTCTTGTGATCTGTGTCAGAATCTATCTGCAACAATGGAGCCTCTTTTTCCCTTTGCAAGTGCCTCGTCATTTGAGCTTCGATCGTAGTTCCTGTATTTGCTCCCCTTCATTACCTCTTGTTTGTTGTCCGCCGTCGCGCTGCTCCTCCTCCAGGCAGACAGGCTAATTTGGTTTGAGTCTTATCGGGACAAAAAGATCATGTGCACTCTATTAACCTTTCCGGGGGCCCTCTTACTGTACACTTAATGATTATCGTGGCTGCCGCACAGCACTCGGCTCGCTTGTTGCATACCTTTATCGCCATCTCGCACGATAATGAATGTTTACGAAACAGAAGGATGGGGTGGGGAAAGGGTAGATTTGAATGTTTTTCGTGTAAGCAAAGTGAGCCATTTATCTACGCAGTCATGCGACTAACAAGACGTCAAAAATGCGTCGCAAGTAGAGGGAGGCCACTTTTGAATGCATTTCACTCTACCTGTTTCTCGTGATTAGCATATTATCGCAAAGTAAGCATACCGGCGTGACGCTGTCACCTCGCCAGGGCTTCCTATTAGAAAACTTTCCTCGTCAAACTCTGTTAACTTTGTGCCCTCCTGAGTTGTTGTTCTGCTGTGGTGCGATACAGTTTTATAATGATTTAAACAGGTGGTGACCCAAAAAAAAAAAAAGGTTTCTGGGTGGGCCTTGGAGTAAAGATTCTCTTCACCAATTACGCGCCATACAAAACCTATTTATATGTTGGCCCATGCTTTCCCGACTTGCTTCTCGCTTCCTGGGCTTTGCCGAATGCCTTCGTCAGCTTCCTGCTAAATGAAACAAATCTCGTATCCAAGTGCCGGCAGACAAATCGGTGCGCTAATGAAAATATTATCGTGTTGACTGTTGCGACACAAGAGCCGGCAGGGCTTGAAATATGGTCATCCGTTTGTGTTCCTGGGCTGAGGTAAAAAATGCGTGCAATGTATTGTCGCCATTAAATGCGACCTCGCTGCTCACCACCCGTAGTACAGAAACAAGTGTAAAGTTTGTACGAGCATTTGTACTTGGCAGTTATTTATTCCATGTGACGCGAGCTTTTTTTTCTGTTGCTCTAACAAGCCGCGTGGTTTGCTCATTTGTCTTCATTAAAAAGGGAATATTGCGCCTTTGATTCATGTGGGGAGTCATATTTCCACGGGTGCGCCGCAGGGACAATTATTCAGGCTAAATGCCCGCTACAGGTGACAGTTATTTCCCCATGTGAGTGTGAAGATGGAGTCAGGTAGTCTACCTGTGTTCAGGACGTGTAACCATGACAACAACATGGCAGAAACCCAGTCGGTTGTGCTTAGCTGTTTACGCCTGTTTTCATCGATGAAGTCGTCCCTGATTTGTACTATGCCAATCAGCTACCTCGGGACTTTCCCTCCAATGTCCCGTTTATTGCAGATCTCGAGCCAATCAGCTTCATTGTTTTCCCAACCCTGCCGTTTTTCATCCATCAATGTTTTTTCCTTGAGTGAGCCTGCCAGCCATTTCTGAAAGATGCTCCCCCGGCCCCGATTTTGTGTCCAAGCCACTTCCGTCCCTCCATTCAGCCTGCAAAAGTTGTGCAACTTCCGCTCCACTATCTCATTAATTCCGTCCTTCCGCCCCCTTTGATTATCGACTCGGGGAATCATTGGCTTACGTCAGTTAATGGGCTGTCAAGGCCTCATCACTTGTAGCGTCCAGTCGCTAATGATGACTCAGTCGGTGGAGCGGCCCCCTTCGTGGAAACGTCCCCGCACCCGCTGAGATTTTTGTGTCGTCGTCTGCTTTTAATTGCGTAGGACCCTCGGCTCCAGCTAATTACGTCGTCACCAAAGTGTGTAACCGGTGCAAATAAAACGCTGCAGTCGGCGAGGCTGATTGGGCCTGGCAATGGCAAGACCTCAAATCATTTTGCACTCTGGGAGAAAAAGGGATCATAATTTTGAAAAAGTGAATGCATGACTCTTAAATTAAGGTGTTTGTGTTATTGTTTACCACCAGACATAGCGATGATAATAATAAGCACTTTCCAAAGCGGGGTTACTTTAATACATGTCACGTTCCCCTTTGGAAAAATATTGAAGCTTTACAGATCTTGAATTGCAGACTGCTTTGCCAAGAGGGAAAGAAGAAAAAGAAAGCAAGCGTAGCCTTGAAAAGGAGGGTTGTTGATTGGATCTGAGGTTTCACGCAGCAGCCGTTTGGAACGGCGGTTGATTTCGACTGCTTGCGATCGCCGCCTTTGTCTGGAAGCGTCGACTTTTAATTACCAACCATACATGACGAGTTGACGGGGAGGCGGCAACAGATGCCATCGAACGAGACACTTGGCTTTGAGAAGAGGGGTCGAGGCCTCGCGATGGGGGGGTAGGAAGCGCCATCTCGCGTTTCCATTCACTCCAAAAGAGCAACGAGCACAGATTGGGTAGGATGATCAATCCAGCCAAAGCCTGATTTAAATATAAGAAAAAAATCCCATGATAGCTGCAGCATTTTTTTTTTTAAATCGAGATCTCAGTGTCTCCACACTGCCCCCTTCTGGTCATAAGCACCACTGTGACCTCAGGCATTGCCAGAAAATGCGCAAAACCTGCCTGCAATATTTACAGACATCATGTGTGATGTCACATGATTCGCGATTTGTTTTTTTTTCCCCCCTGATTTCACTACATTGTGATGATAGCCAGAGCGCCACAAACACATAAAACTCTGACCTTGAATCCTAGTGGAGGACATGAGAGCAGAGAGCCTCTCGACCTTGTGTCCGAGTGGACTCGACTTGGTTTCCGACTCATAATCTCCGGTTGTGTCTCTCAAAGCTTATGAAAAGGGGGGGGGGGGGCTTCATATCTACTTGTATTGCCGTGAACTGAACAGCGTGACACACGCACGCACACTCACAAACGCAGCAGATCTGATTTCCTCCTTGGTCGTGGACTTTTAAAAGGCAGATAATATTCCGCCGACGTTCTTGTGGGAAATTAAAAAGAGGCGCTGGTCAACAACTGCCCCCCGCCCCCTCTGATAAGAGTCTTTTGCGGGCTTCGTTCTCACTGGAATCAGCAATGAGCGCGAAAGAAAAACAGGGAGAACGGTTGGGAAAACATTTGAGGCATGATTTATTTTAAGTAGTCAATGTTAATACAATGGAAAGTATTAGATGTTGATTTAAATTTGCATTTATTTTAATAACCAGTTGGTACTAATAATGGTCAAATCTGACATCTACATTTTAAAAATGCATTGAGTTTATGAAATGATTTATTGTAAAAAAAAAATGTTACTTTATAATATAAAATGTTTGGTAGATTTATTGCAGATTTTAGTACAGTGGACAGTTTTACACACATTTTAAAATTTTTGATTTATTAAATGGTTATTTGTTTCATTCACTGCCATAGATGGCTCGAGAGTCAAAGCTTCGTTTTTCTTGGGCTAACGGTGAAGAACTTAATCAATGGATTGACTCTTTGGGGCGGTGGTGTTTGGTTACACCTCATCTCTGAATATTCTACAGCAGTAGGCTTCTTGCTATGTTTGACATTATGCCAAGCAAAAGCTTTGGGGCCCAGTCAGCCAGTGTGTGAGCTGCACCCGCCAAAGAGGGACGTCTGGTCCGGTCCAGTCCAGACGTCTGATTGCTTCCAGATGACAATCGGAGTTGGTGCGACCCGAGACGAGACGGTGGACGACCATACGGCGGAGGACGCGTGAGCAGATGCTTCCCGATGGCCTCCGATGTGCTCGTGGCGGTTTTACTCTTATGCACCCTGGCGTCCACTCAACGCCCTCGCTCAGGTGAGTCTGCCTCGTAAATATTTACCGGTTTTTAAAAAGCGACACCTTAAGACAGCAAAATCAATCTTTCGATTGGAAAGTCTGCGTTTTGTTGATGCTGGCGTCGGTCACTAAATTTCTCGCATAGCTCTTGTCGCGTCACGTGACCCGAACGCAACTTGACACGTTTGATTTGTTACCCAATCGTGGCAAGAGTGTTGCACGTGCCCCCAAAATGTCAGAGTTGGGATAAATATGCCTCAAAAGTCAACGCTGAAGGCTCGAGCAATGATAATTTGGTGATGAAAACCCTAGAACACGAAAGAAGTACTCTTTCCTGGTAAAAAGCTTTAAGCTGTATTCATTAGTGTCGATTTGTGGTCCCGCCGGGATCACAAGTCCCCGGTGCAGGCATAAGCCCATCCGCTAACGTGTTCAATGATGGTTGTTGTCCTGATGGCTCAGCTTTGTACACAGCGGCATTGCAGCCAAAGCAGGGTGCACCCTGGCTTCTGAATCCTTCCTTCCAGCAATCCGCGCAAGATGTGGAGCTCCTCTTTGAGGTTAGCACGCATCATGCTAATCATCAGCACGAGGAACCAGGAATGTGTACCCTCCTCACGACGCGTCCGCCGCCACATTCATGTAGCACTAAATCCATTTCCTTGTCTTCCATTCAGATTTTGTTGTCCGGAATGGAAATCCGAGGCCAAGAGCCACTCGTCATCCCCGATCCGGAGCTGGCGTCCCTCCGTGGCGCTCGCGCACTGGAGCTCATCTGCGATGACGTCCTCCCCAAGAGCCTTCCGGACGTCCTGCGTCTGTCCGCCCGGCTGGACGGACGCCGCCGCCCTCTGAGTGCGCCCGACTTTGAGAGGACCGTGCTGACGCTGGTCTATGCCGCCCAGACCGCAGCAGCGGCGTCAGATGGCACGGAGAGGCGTCGGGCCTGGGCCCGGTCCCTCGTCCGCCTCTTCGAGGCCATTCGGAAGGACCTGGACTTCTAAGGGTGTGGTTTTTATTTAGTTTGTCACTACAGTGGATATTGAAAAGCTGCTTTCTTCTACGGTGGATATGTCAGTCATGTGATATTGTAAAATGTAATGTTAGATAGTTCCAAATATTTCCACATTCTTCATTGTTTTATTGAGTGCAGCGATGTGGCGCAGCGCGCCAACTCAGCAAAGAGTGATTAGGACGGAAATGAAAAGAGAAGAGAGGAATTTCCTATCTTTCTTTGACAAGGATTATTTTGAATATTTGAGCAATATTCATGGAGCGTGAATGATAATACATGAACATGTAATCATTGACTGGAAGGTAGCGTCTCAACTATTTGTGAAAATCTGCGCTTTATACATATTTTTACAGTGTAGCGTGATGCTATTCATACTTGTGGGATGTTTTATCAAATATTAAAGTCAACAATCACACTCTTGACTGAAAATCTGAATGAGTTTCTGCCTGTCTCATGCTGTACGCTATGTAGGTTGAACTTCTCCACCCTTATAATGTGGAGACAGCACACCCATGTGGTTATTGAGTCAAAGGGGCTCTTAAATAGTTTTGTCTTCTTTCATTCTGTTACTTGACATTTTTAAATTCACAAAGAAAATGATTGGATTTTGTTTAGTTATTGAATATAGTTGAATTATGGTTGGTTATTGCTGTCTCATGAAATTGTAGTTTATGCTGTGCATTTCTTTCCCTAGTAGCGCTACCTTCAAGCCCTTTCGTACAGTACTTAAATACTATTATCACCCATAAATATTGATCAGACATCTTATAAAAAGTTCTCAAACGGCCTTTTGGTGTGTTTGACTTGCAGTACGTTGCTCTTCCACTGGGTGGCGGCATATCCCAACGGCAGTCAATGATGCATGTGAGAATGAGTCATTTCTTGCACCAAGTACTGGAGGTATGTTCATTGCGACTCACATTTGAACTTCCACTCCACTCGAAATGTCGTTGATTTTGCATTTTGAAATATTTTTTTCTTTGTTAATAACAGGAACATCTCAGTGTGCTAGCATGCTGCAATGAGCACAAGCTGGTCTGTGTCCCCGATCAAGTGGCCGGTGAGTTCTTTTCAACTTGTTTCAAATATAAGAAATGTTTTTTTTTTCATGACAAAACAGATTAAAAAAAAAGACTTTGGTGTGACATTAAATTACCTCAATGAATTACCTGGCAACGTGATAAATTTACGCCCAACGTAGCAAATTTTTTGTAAATGGGATATCAACCCAAATTTAAGAGATAACCTCAGATTAGCATGAAGGTATGGTTTAGCAACATTGAAAGAAAACAAAAGCCAATGGTGGGCCTTGGTCCCTGATTTTGCTCCATCACAGGCCAGGGGGAATGTGTTCCTTTAACCTTCCGCAAAACTTCTCGATATTCGGCGTGTATAATTGGACCACCTGAGTCCAACTTCTGATAAGATCTACCTTCGATCACTTTTGACAGCAGGCGCCATCGCAAACTGATCCCGCGGAGATAACGGGGAAATGTACAATTTATCACTGCCGTGGCATTCCCCCCAGGATGGGATTTTCTTTCTTCACGGATTCTCCGTGGGTGTTTCCCAGTCAGTCAGAGCCCTGATTTCAAGGTCAGGGTTCACCATGCCTGTCGTCCATTCCACATGTCAATCAGCAATCAGTTGGCTCCTGGAATTGAAACAGAAGTGACTTTAAATGCCGTTCCACAAGTGCCTCATTACGGGGAGGTATCTCCAACCATGAACTTTCGCAAAACGAGACTGCTGTCCGGTTCGCAAACCGGGTGTTACAGCTAAGTGGCAGGATAGGAGAAGTGAGGTATCAATCCTTCCTCTCCTGGATTCTGAACCTTTTCCGGCAAAGGAATCTTCTGAAAGTAGCTTTCAAAGCCACGGCGCCACACTGTCGTTCCGGCTCAGTTACGACTTGTATACACACTCTGTTCCCCAATCCATGTCTGTGCTTTTAATACCGAATAACTTTTACCAATACAAGCATGAGAACCAAAGAGTTTGGCAGAGACTAAGAAAGGCGTAATATACACACGCCGTGCAGGCGAGGAGCCAGAGCGTCATCCATCCTGGATAATGTAAACGTCCGGCGGTTGGCAAAGAGTGTGCTTTAAACACGAGCCGGCAGCTCAATGGGACGATGGACAGGCGGGTGGGCCGCGCCAAAATAAACCTTGAAGAAGAACTGTCTGCCCTGAAGTGGCTACGGCCCTCCAGAGTGTAGGCGGGGGTCTTGCCACTTGCTCCACTGCTGCCCGTTTAAACACATCAAGCAGCAGCAGCCCCCGACATGCAAACTTAATACCAGATGGCTCTTGTGATCCACTGAAGCATGACGAATGACCGACTTTGACCGGGGCGCAAGGGTTAAGTCGTATCCCTTACCCGACCTTGGCATTCGATACAGATGCGTGAAGTGGGTTCCCACGTGTCCCTGCTGGGAGGTGACGAGCAAAGACCCCGTGGCAGGTCAGAGACTTCACCACGTATCTGAACCGCTCAATCCCTGAACCTCCAAACACTTTTTCACAAATGAGTCCGTCCCTGAGGTTCACTTGCCAGGTTTCCTTCTGCGAAACGTCCCCTGGACCGGCTTGTGAACCCTCCACTCCCTCTGAGTGGAACCCATCAACCTCGGGTCCACCCCAGAGATTCACTCACCTTGATACCTTCTCTGAAACATGTCCCAGACACACTCTGCAAATTAGTCCCGTCCATGAGGTTCCCCAGCCAGTTTGCCTTTTGTAACTCCCCCATCCCTCGGGAGCAAAAAACTTCCAAATCAAAACCTCCTTCCTCAAGTTTGTCTGACGCAGACTCATTTGCTTTGTGCAAGACGCCCTTCACAAATTAGGACATTCCTGAGATTCCCTCGCCGCCTTCTGTGAAACGTCCCCCAGGAACCCTCCACAAATTAGTCCGTCCGTGAGGTTTAACCCGCAGGTTGCTTTTGATAAAACATACCCCCGACCTGATGTGAAACCTCCCGTTTCCTCCACAACTTTGTCACCTGTTTTCCTTCTGGAAGACACCCTGCGCAAATGAGTCCCTCCCTCAGGTTCATCTGCCAGGTTGCCGTCTGTGAAACATCCCCCATATCCAACCCCAACTGACAACCGCTCAATCTGGGATCCTCCGGTTCCCTGCTCAAATGTGTCCGACGCAGAGTTACACTCAGCAGGTTGTTTAATTAATCAGTCGTTTTGCCCTCTCTCAATTAACTCGATTACTTGACCCGCCTTCAGAACTCTAAACCATTAAATCAGGATTACTTGGGGTTCCGATCAATAATGAATACCCGTGCTAAGTAAATGAGCGGGCGGTGTAAAAGCCAGTCTGTTTAATTAACTCAACGAGGTGAATTCCGCCCCCCTCAGCCCCGAGGAATGAATGGAGCTAATTAGATGAGGGGCGCTCTGCAATATGCTCAAGTATTCCCATCGGAGTCTCCAATGAATGGTCTCGTCATCCCAGAGGGACACCTTTTGTCAAAAATCCAAAAGTCCTGCGATTGAAATTAGGAGTTAAAAATTTTCAGATAATTAAGTACAAGAGCACAAAAGTTCAGGTTAATTTTTAAACATGCTGTGTTGGCGAATACGGTAGTTCATTAGTCTAAAAGCAACCCACCTAAGCAGAATTTCACTCACAATTGCTGTCTACCTTTTAATGACGACTCAGCACGGTTACACTATGAAAGTCTGAAAATAGATGTCCGTGTTGAATATACCGTACACGACGCACGTTGATTAGATTCTCTCGACCTGTGTTGCAGGCTGACGGAGTTGGAATGCAAATGTAATCTAAATATGGCGCACGCTCAAAACAAAACGTGAAAATTATTCCGCTAACACAGTCGTGGTTTGCGTTTGATGATATGCAAAATGAAAGCCATATGCCGCATGGGCCTGGCACAGGATTTGCTCCACGGGAGGGTGGGGGGGGCGGGGGGACGCGGAACGCGGGCCGACCGCAAGGCCCCAGGGGTGCCCGAGCGGCAACTAGAAAACCCATAAGCGGCGCATCCGTCAAAGCACGCAGGAAGATCCCACCTGCGAGCTTAACATGACAGTCGAACGGGGGGGTTTTTATATAGCTCCGGTGTGGGGATTGAAGCATCAATCTTGCGCATCTGCAAAGCCACTCTGGGCTGACTACATCTACATCTGTTACGTCGTTAAAAAAAAAAAAAGAGAGAGAGAGAGAGAGAAAAAAATACCGCTGATGACGCTGTGGTAGTCTGTTTTTGATTATTCAACCTGGTAAAGTTTTTTTTTTTTTTTTTTTCTCCTCTGGGCGGATGCATCAAAGCGATGTCTTAAGTGAGTGGAGTGCAGTTTATGAAAGCCCGCCGCTGTAATGACAGTCCAAGTGTGACTTACTTTGACCAAGAGACATTCGCAGGCTTCCATTGCGCCGCGTGCTCACACAAACACTTTTGCCGCCGTACGAACAAAGTTTATGGCACCATTTTGTTAGGATGCAAAACTATTGAATTTGAAATGCAATTCTCATGTAGATGTGACCGTTTGGAATTTTTATGGCGCAACGAGCCATTCCATTCCTTGGGCGCCTTTTTTTTCACGCGTCTAACCCAACATCGTAACGTTTTGAGAAGAATTGGTTCTGTCGCCGCGCTTTGCTTTGTTTGGTCCGCGAGTTGCTGCTGTCTTTGTTCAAAACAGAACTGCGCAGGTCTCGTTGCGGTCATCTCTTTTGTTTTCCCTTGAAAACAGCTGCAAAGAGGCTTGATATGAACATTCCACATCCATGAGGAATTTCAGCCGGCGAAACCCAAACAGCGTGCATACTGGAAGATAGGATTGATCCAAAGCGATCATAAAATTCACACCCAATCAGTCCCAACCCGAAGGGAATAAGATGTCGAAGATAAAACCAGATGATCTCACTGATGTCATGAAGGGCCACCTGCTTGTTGGACTGTGTCCTACAAACCAAAATCTCATTTCAATCCCTCTGCTTCCCAGCATCCCAGAGGTCCGATAAAGACTTTAAGACTGTTTGAGGATTCCAAAACGAGTCATCGCCTTATCGCCACCTCTGGAGTTCCCAACTTGTGGTCTTTCAGGTGAGTAGTCTCCCAAATCTGAGAATAAAAGCACAAATCCATCCGTATTTGTATCTGGGCTGGCCCACAACCCGAATATGTTTCCAAATAATTGTGAGCAAAAGAATGGATTCGCCACATCCTGTTGAGGCAGCCAAGAATCCCAACGTAGTATCGGAGGCATAATGCCACCAGCTGGGACCGGAGTGTGAAGCTTGCCGTCGCACATTTGGCTCGACTGTTACGCCTCTGATGCAGCCATTTTCCAGGAATGTAGTGTGAACGCGGCGTAAAAAAATTTCCATCAGCGATAATCGGCACAAAAATCTTTGGACTGCAGCCTGTCTAGGCAG